CAAGCCAAGCCATGATGAGGTTCAACCGGCGGCCGCTGTGTCGCGAGATGAATCGCCCGCGTCGCGAACTTGTGCAAGGAGTGCTTGCCATTTGCGATTGTAGGAAGTGAGAAGCCCTCACCCCCACAAGGGGACCATGTAGGATTCAAGGTGTCGGCCATCTGCGGGCAGAAAGCATAAAGGCCATCACGTGTATGCTATCATTCCCCTGCCCCCCAAGGACTCGTCCCCTGCCTTCGTCTGACCTCCGATGACCATCTCACCACTAGCCTGGTCTCGGAGAGGTACTGAGGGAACACCAGGTCTCGTAGCGTCTGGGCCAGCTGTGCATCTCGGCAACATGTCTTTTCAGCAAAGTGGCTCGTCTGATTGCCTTCGGTGAAGGCTCAAGGACTCAAGGCCTGACAAAGGGGATATCCTGGGAGCCAACTTGCTTCAGCAAGGAAGGCCCATTGTACACGTAGGTCGACTGCTTGTTCGTCCTCCCTGGGTCGTGAGAAACTGCCTTGTGGATGCAAGTTGAACTCACGCAATCAGCACGAGCAAGTCGCAGACAACGACCCCGAACAAGTGGTGGAGAGCAAGTGCTGGAAGGCGGTGCTCCGGAGGCTCAGGCAGCTAAGGCTCCAGAAAACCCGAAGTCTTGAAAAATCAAAGGCCCATCCCCAAGTCCGAAACCCATCAGACAGGCAGCCGCCCCGAAAAAGGTTTCACTAACGGGTCGGACATGGGCTGCGAACCTGGGGTTGTGACGCAGAGGCGCCGACGAGCACCGGTGCCCCTCATTCGAGAACCCAGCCAGGGCTGCGACGTCGCCTCACAGCGTGCCATGGTCCAGCACAATGATAACTTAATGATAACTCACTCGCGGGTGCCAGCCGTGTTTTTTGTAGGGAGGTGCCTGAAATGTGCTACCGCACCCACAGCTACGACCCACGACGCCCCGGTGGAAGATATGAGAGAGCACAGTCTTCAACCACAGCCCGTGTGGAGTGTCGAAGCGTGCTTGCAAGTTCTCGCGTGGTGCTTGGTGATGCTAGCAAGACATTGTCAATGTGTGTTCCTGCCACAAGGCTCAAGTGCACTGGGTCTCTTGGCTATCCGATGAACTGGGGTTGGATCAACGGAAACGGGCCCAACACCCATTCATCCAGGGACAGACTACAATATGAGAGAGCAATATGAGAGAGCAGTCCGTTGTACCGTGGAGCCAGGGCGATATAGTTCAGCTCTGCATCCGTGGCTTCGAGGCGACGAGTCTCTGGCCTGCGAAGTGCTACATTCATCGGACTGTAGGACGCTTGATTAAACCCAGCGTATGTTGCATAAGGTTTTGAGCAGTCGTGGAGGCCTCGAGTCCTTCGTTGAAAACCACCCCGGCAACTGTGGACGAAGCAAATACAGGAGCTAGGGCCCTGGGATCAACGGAGAGCACGACCTACAGGTCCGCGGTGAGACTTCTTAGAAGGGCGGTAAGGAAAGGCGTCGGTTGTGGTAAAGCTTGCTGGCATAACGGGCTGGCACTCGGACAGCAGCGGGATGTCGGAGGCCCTTAGAACCCTAAGCCTCCAAAGGCTTTGTATGCCACAGAGCTTGACGCCACAATACCCCCAACGCTCTGCCGCGCTTTGTGAGAGCTTGAGCGCACACATCTCGTCGAAGCAGGTGCAACCTCACTTTGCTGGTCACCTTTGCGCATAGCTCGTGCCGACAAGATGCAGCAAAGGCTCCCAAAAGCTGACATGGTCAAGATGAGCTATCTCAACCCCAACACCGCCAGCCAATTCTGGCTGCTAGCAACTCCTGAGCCCAACGTCGGCAGACCTGCTGTTCTGAGTGCAGTTCGGCGTGGAAAAGTGCAGGTTTGGGGCATGGTCCAAAGCAGGCAATTTGCTACACCGCATTCGGGACGGCACCCGCCTGCACCACCCTACTGGCCTGGCGGCAAAGCATCGAAGCAAGGAACCGAGGCCAGGCATCGTCTGCACCGGTGCCACGGCAAAGTCCACGATCAACCCGAAGGCACCGCAGGAGCCCATGTTTCATAGCGGGCAGGAGGTGCGACTCCTCGCCAGCGCGTCTTTTGAAGTCAGCACCCTTGCCCTGCTCTACGTAAGAAATCTATCCCCCGCTCTTCTTGCTTCGCCAAGATCGCTTTGGGGCAGGAAGCTGGGGACGGTGCTCCTATCACTCTACAACATTAGCATGCCAGAAGTAAACGTCTGGGCACGTCTGTGATGCCATGGGCCTTGGGTATGGGTTTGCTGAAATGCGGTCGGAGCTTCAGCATTCGCAAAGGCCTGCTAACGATTGGAAGGGGCTCTACGAAAGCAACGAGGGGATGCTTGCCAACCCGAAGCAACGGGCGAAGCCCTGATGGTACAAAAAACGGGCCCACCGATGGCTTGGCAAATGCGGCAAGCACTGAAGGCATGGAAACGTAGTGATGTCATATGTAATGCCAGCCTTTCACGCGCGTTCTTTTGCACCCCGCCACGGGCGGAGAATCTCGCCGTAGCTTTCCTTAGAGGCATCTGCCGCTTCCGCGAGATCCCCCGCTTCATGGCCGTCGTAGCCTCAAGGGTTAAAACTGGCCTGCCATGGTTCAGAGGCCCCGATGGCAGAGGAAAGATTATTTGGGACGCAGGAAGGTTTTGGAAGATGATGTCTGCGCTTGTCTGAAGATGTCATTGTGAGAAGACCCTAAACCCTAAACCCTGTACAAGCTAGCCTTAGGAGCTTGAACTTCTGCAGTTGTAGACCGCATAAGCAACCTTGTGGTTCTTAAGGCCTTGCATTAAGCAAACTCCCGCGTGGCATTGCTGCTAGGGTTACCAGGTCTGAGCAAGGATGAAACGAAAATGGTGTGACCAAGCTGCTGCGTGGGACATAAGTTCTTAGGGGTTGTAAACTGCTCCCTGCCGGCAGCTTGGCCTCTTTCTGTCTCTATTGCGACAGAGTGAAACAAGGACAACTACTTTGAGAATCAAACTGCACAAGCCAGCGAGCGTAAACGCAGTCGTGACTACAAAGAAGCAACCGCTAGCGCAGAGGCCCGTATTGCAGGACAACTTAACGCAAGGCCAGCGAGGTGAGACCAATGAAAAACAAGAACCTACCGGCACCCATCACTCAGCGGCCCGTCACCCATAGCAATGCTGCGCCACGTCTGGCACAGACATTAAGCGAAAGTATGGGTAGGCCGTAAGGCAAGGAACCTCCGTCACCTAAACTGCCCCACGCGTCCATAGGGACAGTCCCCACACAAGCGCCAGGGCCGTAGCAAAAGCCTAGCACTCAGTACACCTTCTTGCAGTTAGGTTGACCATTAAGTGTGAACGCACAGAGAGTTGAGACCAAAGACTTGTTTTGCCACGCAGTAGCTGTGAGGGCAGAGACCTCGCTGCGTTAAGCAACCTCAGCGCAATCGCTGCCCTGGCTGCAAAGTTTAGCAGGGGACCGCATGCTTGACCTGCAGGGTCCGTGTCATGCAAGTGACGCAGGTTAAGATCCAAGTAACTTAACTGCCCCGCGCAGCGGCCGGTTTTCCCTATCGTATACAGACCACAGACGACGAAAGCCAGCAGTCTCACAGACGCGCCAGGCAGTGCGTACCGAAACGTGTCCCACGGAGCCGAAAAGGGCCAAGTAAAACCCACTATCCCGGAAACCTAGCCTTATGCAATTTGCAGAAACTGGTCAAGAGGGGGCCTTCTTGGCATCTGGGCAGCCTGCAGCTTGGGTGCCGCAGAGCTTGCAAGAGGCTTCCTTGCTACTGGGCCTGCGCTCAGCGCGCCTGTAGTCTCCAGGTCCTCAAGCGAACTGCAGGTATGTTGTTGCTGAGTGGCACACTTGCTCCCCAATGCTCTTACTGCCCCGCGCAGCGGCCGATTTTGTTTAAGCACACAGCGCTTAGTGACTGTGACCTCCCAGCGTAACTGTAGGTTTTGGGCTTTCCCCCCCCACTTGGCTATTCTTGGACAACTGCATAAGCTTAAGGGACCAAGTAAACCTTCTATACAGTAACTTAAACTTAGCCCCCGAAAATTTTTTCACTATTGAGGGAAAAGCAAGAGGAGAACTTCAAAGGGTGGATCCCAACCCCCACAGTGCCAGACGCAGCCTGGGGCGTCACTCTTTCCACCAGATAGTGGCCAGTCGTTAAGCGCTGGAGCAACAAACCACCACCCGGGAGAAAAGGAACCTTAAGATACAGTATTGAAACTGTTACCTAAAGGCCACTTACTGGTCCCCAAAGGTTCCAGCAGAGGGATTTTACGCCAACCTGCTTCTCTGAGCTTCTTAAGGGGCGCTTATACCCTGTTTCGGGCTGTTGTTCCAAGGGAGCACAGCTCGGGCCCTGGCGTAGGCTCTTGCGAGAGGTGTGTCTGCCAGCACCTCTACCGCTGGGTGACCCAGTCTCTGGCACCCGAGGCTGCAGGGACGCAGGAGTAGAACCTGCAGGCTTTCTGGCTCAACCAGCCCTTTGCCTGTTTGTGTAAGATTTTTTCTTTTTTCAAAGCGGACGCCTCTTTACCACATCAGCAGCACAGTGGGCCGGTCTATTGCGACGAGGTGAAACAGCCATGACTACCGGAAGCAGCCAAACCGTAAAAGACCGAAACGCGGCAAGCAACCCACAGCCCTGCAAGACTCACACTCAAGCCCTGCACGCTTCTCACTTTTGCATGCTCGCATACTCCGGTCTTGAGCCAACGTACCAAACAACGTGAAACTCAGTCAAAACTGGTCAAACCTCACGGTGCTTCGGGAAAACATTGGAAAACACTCCCTAGGCTCTAAAAGCTGAGGCGACCTACTCTCTGCTCCGGGAAGACACTGGAAAACACTCCCTAAGCTCTAAAAGCTGAGGGCTGAGGAGACCTACTCTCTACACCACTTCGCAAGCGAGTCCTCTGGGAAAAACTTAAAAGACGCTGGCAGCCCAAGGCCCACATAGAACCTTTGGTCTTTTACTCCCCCTCTGGGCATTGAGGCTGTCACGGCCCCGTCGAGGTGTAGGGGTAGCAAAGATGGCACTTGGGCTTGCCCGTAGGCTGGCTGTTGCGAGGTGACGGACAGAAAGCATCCCGGCGGTAACACTGACCATGCCGGGTGACATAGATGTCCTTCGGCGGTGTACCCTTCAGCTCCCGGAGCTGTCTCACCACAAGGCGGTAGTAGGCAAACGTAAGGAGGTGGCCAACAAGAACGCGCCGAACCTCTGTTCGTGCGCGGACATGTTGACTTTCTGCGTCGGTCGATGCGTCACGGAGAGTCACATCAGCAGCCAACCTCGGTCTTTCTTCGAATCACCGAAGTCGTCTGGGCAGCATCCAATGCAACCTGCTCTGTCTTTTCTGTACACCGCAAGCGCATGGAGAACGCTTGTCAGTCCGGGTACTCGCAACAATCTGCGGGCGCAGAGAAGATCTATATGCGCGTTGCGAGGGCTGCTACGGCCCAAAAGGTTGACTCGTCGGAGTTGTCTCTTACCGTGGGAGATGGCGGATTCTGCCTGATTGTCGCCACCCACTATTCTACATCTCTGTTTTTGCGGCGTGAACGCTGCCGCTGGTTTCTTAGCAGCAGCATTCTTGGCCAAGGTTCGTCGCTGTCCTGGAGTGAGATCTTTGACTCTCAAAGTCTTGACTGGCGTGAACTCATCTAAGTTGTGGCGGGCAGTGGCTGCAGGCACAGCCATCGATGACCAAGCTGCACGCAGGCCGGCACCTGCGTCGCTGCATGCCACGGCCGTCTTCTTGTCGACATGCTTTTCCAAGTGTGGCAAAATCTCGGCCAAACTCTCTGTCCCCCCAGGTGCGCCACGCTTCTGTGTCTTACTGGGCAGAGGTTTGAACACAGTCTGCTTGGAGGAACGGCCAGTGATCACCAGAACTCGTCCGTTTTGAACCTGCGTAGAGCTTCTGCCGAAGAACTTCTTTTTGGAGCGTCTTCCTCGAAGACCTTGACGTAGCGCTGCCTGGGTTTGCGCTGAACTGGCACGAGACACACCATGCGTGGCACCATCGGCCTTGCAGAGAGCTGAAAGGGCGTGGGGTTCAAGGTCTAGAGTTTAGGGTTGAGGGTTCAGGGTATTGTGGGCATTCTGCCTCGACAATCTCTCCCTGCAAGATTTGCTCGTTCTGCTCTTTCATCTCGGCATATGCCAAAGCCAAACGCAAGACAGCATACCACCGCTCGGCTTGCTTGCGTCCAAAGTCTGTGTTCTTCTCATGTAAGATGACCACCATGGAATCCAAAGGGATACGAGCTCCAACCAAGAAGCAAAAGCAGAGGAAGAGCCGAAATGGCAGTGCACCGCCTCGTCTGCGTCAGCCAAAAAGGAGACCAAGCCAGGGAGGCATGTCTGAGTTGCCTCTTGTGTCGGCCAGGAAGAGTGCAGTGAGGGCACCGAAGAATGTCCTTGCTGGAGCCCCCGCCGCTCATCTTGGACCCGCACTGCCAGCAACGAATCCCCGCGAGCTTTCCTTGCAAGCAGCCATGCTGAACCAGGATGCTGCGAGCCTTCTTGTCGGACATTCGCACCAAGTCAGCATAGTCGAAAGCTTGCTTGACATCACTGAGTCGTGGAGTTGCGGTGTGAGCAGCAGAGCTTGCGCTGATTCCCAAGGCAAAGTGCTGCTGGTTAACTTGTCTGGCAGCCCCCAGGTCATTTTTCAGCTTGTTGTCTTTGCGCGTCTCCCCAGCCTGGAATTTTCGGGAACGCAATTTGGCTTTGACCATGGTGTGTAGCGCAGGAGCAAAGAAACTGAGCTTTAAAAAACAAAACTGCGGAATCCATCAAATCCTGCAAGGAGTGAACTCGAAAGAAAGTGAAAGAGAGCAAGCAACCCTAGGTGACTCAGCAAAGCTTCTGTTTTGCTCAGGAACTTGAGGCGGCCGCAAGGCGCTCATCTCGTGAGACCTGCAAGAAGTATTCGCGGTCAAAAAGCTGGACGATCGTCTTGTCGACAATCGAGCTCCATTCGTCGAAAAGAGCACGAACAGCAGAGTTGAAAGCAAAAAACTGTGGCCTCAAATCAGTTCTGGGGGCTTAGGGTGCAGGACTGAATGTCTAAGGCTTATGTTTAGAGACGACAGCAACAAGTATCACAGTGCGGCGGAAGAGCAGACACCGCACACAATCGCGGGCATACTGAAGTTCGTGCCGCAACTTCTGACAATCCTGCGAGGCCATATAAGGAACATCCCAGACCCTAAATTTTAAAGTCCTAAACCGAAAGGTCGTAGACGTCAAAATCCTAAACCCACAAGTCATAAACCGCAAAGTCTGAAACCCTAAAATCCTAAAGTCCTAAACACTCAAATCCTAAACCCCAAAGTCCTAAACCCTAAACCCGAAACTTCTAAACCCGAAACTTGTAAACCCCAAGATCCGAAACCCTAAAAGCCTAGACCCGAAAGTCTGGAACGGCCAATTATCCTGGGCGTGGGAGCGGCCGTAGTGCAAAGTAAGCAGCTCGCCAAAAGCAGGTCGGGGCACTAGGGTCACTGTGTCGGGAAGAGGGCGGAGATCGTCTTGCAGTATGGCAGTGCTGGGGAAGTTCAAGCAAACCAGCTCAACGACCTGGATGACCAGTCCCAGCGCAATGAGATCGTCTTCGCAATCGTCGTACGCCAGCAGGAGCGACTGGCTTTGGAAATGCCAGCCACCGAATTGAAGACAATGTGTTGTCGATCAGCTGTCGGCCGGGGAGCGAAATACTGTGACAGCGCTAGCAGCAATGTTGTTGCGTGGGCAACAGACAAGTCTCGACTAATCTCTACCATGGCGGGCAAGAAGCAACAAGGCAGAGAGGGTTGGAAATATGAAGGTTCGGTGTTGAAGCTGCAACAGACAAGTCATGAAGAAAATGAAAGAAAGTGAGGCACTGAGTCATCTACCTGCGACATTCAGAGACAAGTACAAAACAGCAAAAGCAGGCAACATGTTTTCGTCAAGAGCAATCCCCAAGACCTGCAAAGTGGAACCTGACAGCTCCTGTGCACAGCCAAAAGTTGCTGTAGGAGAACACCCGTGCCACACGACACTTCTCGGGAAACTTGAGGTTAAGGGTTCAGTCTACAATGCATGGGAGGTTTGGGGTTTACGGTGGGGAGACGTGTCTGCAGCCGCCACCCAGTCAAGCTACCTACTTCTTCCCGTTCCGGAAAAGGCTGAATCGCACATCTTGCGCGAAACGTCTAATGTACGGAGAGGCCTCATGCATCCTTTCTACGGGAAAGGGCAAGCTACGCCAGCACTTTCTGCCTCTCCAAAAATTGGAGCAGAGGAGGCGCACCTGGTTTCGATGCCTGCACACAGAGAGCTTCCAAGCAGGGTTTGGGGTTTTAAGTGTTAGGGTTGTGGGTTTAGGGCTGAGGGAAAGAAATGGGCAAGAAACTCACGCAACCAAGAATCTCTCCGGATGCAAAAATATGCGGGGACATCGCAAAGCCACATCGGTCACACTTTGCCCACTTCAACTGCTTGCCAGTGCGAGTAGACTTGGAGGTCGAAGCGGAGTCACGGACAGGGCTCCTGGAAGTCCAGATGCGGATTCAAAGGTGTCGGGCTAAGGGGGGACAATACTTGTGGAAACTCGGAAGACAGGGTTGAAGGTTCAAGTTAAGGGTGATGCTGAAGTCGCAGTCCTGGACCTGGTCGGGATTGCACGGTCTGGAGCAGTGCTGGAGGAGGAAGGCTCGAGAGAGGCACTGTCGGCAGAGACTGTGCTGTTCGGAGCAGTGCTTGCAAGCCCATTCCGGCAGTGCAGAAGAACGTGTGGGTTCCAGGCGGGCACAGGAGCAACCTGGAGACACTGTTGGTCAAAAATCAGCTGACAAGCTTCAAGGTACCCACTTGAGAAGAAAAAAGAGACCACAAAGTCCAAGGAACTGGAGGATCCTGTGCAACGTCCCTGTCATCGTCGGAGATGACAACTCATCTGGCTCCAGGTTCACCTGCTGCTCGTACACAGCTAAAGCGCGTAGCTGCCGAGACAGCCACTCTGGGTCGGCAGCTTGAGGACCCCAAAGTTCCATGGCTGGAAGAAGAGAAGAAGAAGAGAAATGTGGAGGAATGGAATGTGACATGTGGTCAAAGTGAGGAAACATCGCTGGTGCCGATGATTTCGTGTGGGTGGCATGAGCAGAAGCACTATTTATATCGCTAAAAACGAGTCCCGGGCAGCCACTGAACCTCCTGAAGCGCGCGCGAACAGGGTATCGTTCCCTACAACCATCCCTGCAGCTAAGACGAAAAGACAAAGCAGCTGTGGTTCGAGTAGTTCGTTACCCAACCGCTGGAAGAGGACCACAGCATAGTCCATGGCCTCTGAAAACCCTGGTGTGAGCGAGACCCGAGGTAAACTCATGGTCTTGGCGTTTCACCCTGAATCCTTGGCTCAGAAAAGCAAAACGGCTGCAGAGCAGACACGACCTTTACAAGCTGCTCAAAACAACCCTACACATAGCTTCAGGATAATGTTGCGTCTCTTTGAGAACAAAGACCTTGGAACGCGGATGCGCATGGTCGCATTTCAGCCCTTCAAGACCCTCGGCAACCCCTGCATGCGTAGTCACCACTCTCCAACGCTTCGACACAAGTTCCCCGTCATTTCCTCTTAGCCCCGCAGCACAACCGTCCACACGACAGTCGTACAAGGTCGCTCGCGAGGTTCGGAGAAAGCTCTGGGTCTAACCCCAGGACCAGTAAGCGCAGCGGGCTGGCCACTCGATGGCCCAGCCATGTGTGTACTTCGTCAGGCTGACAAAGCTTCTCCACAGACGCTTGTGGCAGTCCCACAGGCCGTTTAAATGACCCTTGTAGGCAGAACCCTGTTTCTGGAGATGCATCCGCTGATACGGGCACCCCCCCGTGCATGGGGTCGAGGACCATAAGAAGATGCAGACCCCGCGTTCCAAGGCGGATGCGATAACCCCCTTGATCGCAGTGACCGTCTCCGGTCATCCCTCTCGGTAAGGACACAAACATTCGGAAACTCCTCTTTCGCAACCCGGTGCATGTTGGAGTCGAGAGGGGCGCAGAACTCGATCAGAAGCCACTTGTGGCCCTTCTTAAGCCCTACCCTCTCAGCCAAGGATACCCACTCCCCTTTCGACACAACACCCTTCAGAAGACCCACAGCACACGCAGACCCTTTTCTCAGCTGGACTTCCTCGAGCCCCAAGCTGGCCATGTGGCGAAGTGTAGTGGGACGGACCATCTAAACTCTTTGTGAAGATGTCGGCGGGATTGTCCTTGCCTCTGACGGGCTTGACCACAATGGATCCCGACTGAACTTCATGCTGAATGAAGCACACCCTCAGATCGATGTGTCTCAGCTTCTTCAGCCCTTCCATCTTAGAGATGTTTATCGCGGCCTCACAGTCGCAATAAATGGTGGGCACATACTGACTCTCAGGCTGGAGGCCAGTTACGTGTCCTACCGAACATCTGAGACCCATCGATTCCCTCGCCCCTTCAGTCAGTGCGTATAACTCGGATTCTGCGGAAGAGAGAGCTACAGACTGCTGGAGTCGGGCCCACGATTTCACGCAGGCGGAACCCAGCATGACGCACCCTCCGGAGATCGATCTGCGCGAAACCGACCGCTCCGAACCCCAAGATGCGTCCACGAATACCCTGATTCGCAGATCTTGATCTCTCTGACGTGGAAAGATTTGGAAGAAACTTGAGACCGTTTTGAAGCACCTCAGAGTGTGCCGGATGGCTCTCTCGTGATACTCCCTGGGGTCTGCCTGGCCGCGTGCCAGCACGCTGATGAAATACACAAGATCTCTGCGTGTCGTCGCCAGCCAGGACATTTTTCCCCAGCGCCCTGCGGAAACGCGCAGACGCCTCCTGGCTTGGAGGTCGGGACAACTCTTCACTTTCAAGCGCCCTGTCATACAGATCCCTGAGGTTCGGCGGATTCGGACACCCCTTTGCGCCCTTGAGGTTATACTCTTCCACGACGTCATCAAGATATATCCCGGACCCATTCCAAACTTCAACGAACCCTGCGGCTCCGATCTCAGGATCTTGCGCCCAAGAACGTGATTTCGCCGTGCCTTGCCAGGTCAGCAGTGACCTTCAACTTGACCTCGGCCCCCAGTTTCTCGACCATCTCATACATCAAGTCAGTGTCCTCGCAGGACAGCAGAATGTCGTCGACATAGGCCAACAGAAGCACCCTTTTGCCTCGGTACTCACCCGCGAACAAACAGGGTTCAGTTGGGCAAGACTTGAGCGAGAACAGACGCTCCAGAAGCCCCGAAAGGTGCTTGGTCCAGTGAAGAGCGGCGGACCTAAGGCCGTATAGTGCCTTTTTGAGGCGGAGATACAGTTTCTCACCCCCCAAACCCCGGCATCCCTCAGGCATGCTGACGACGACATCTTCCCCTTGGAGCTTTGCGAAGAGGAAAGCAGTGGACACATCAAGTCCCAGCATGTTGTGCCCCTTTGCTCCTGCCATTGCAAGGAACACTCGCGAGCTTTCCACAGACGCGGTCGGTGAGGAGATCCCCGGCTGAGCTGCGGTTGGGCCCGTGCTGTAATCCCTCGCCACAAATTCTGCAGCACACAAGCTTCGTCTCCTTTCCATCAACCCTTTCAGTCTTGTCAGAGACTACCCAGCGAGTCGAGATGACCTTTCGCCTGGGATCGATGGTCCACATCAGGTCCCCTACCGCGAGGCTCTCAA